ATGACTGATGTGTTTATTCAAATGTACAATCACTGTCGCTGTACACTGTCCACCAACCACTAGCTAAAGACTGTTGTGTTGTAGGATTGTTGGACAGTACCCATATGGGCAGCCGTACAGTGTAAAAAAAGGGGGATCTTACCTCGAGAAACTTTTGCCTGGCGGAGTGCACTGGTACTTATCCTTCCCAGTCTTGGCGATCCCAACGTCCATTGATTTCAATCAGGGCGTACTCATCGTCAACAGGGAAACAGGCATACATCCGGATGGACGACGGCAATAGGCAGCTTTTCAATGTGGTCTCCATACTAGCTTTAAAAACTTTTAGAAGGCGTGAATCCTCAGGCTAATTCAAGTAATCCTCCACATTCACGTAATCAACGTACAGTAAGCCTATTTTACCCGTGGGATAGCGTACTAAACAACGTATAGCTGCAGATAACAGAAGGAAATGATTCCAATATTTCTTTTGAAGCACATCTGTAAGAACTTTAACTCCTGTGTACAGCAGGAACTGACGCAGTTCAGTCCCCTTCCATTGTCGATATCCACTAGGGCAGGAATGCGACTCGGTTCCTCAATATCATTCCACATCAGGGAGTCCGATTCAGATACAGAGGAAGAGGAGGACGAAGTTAGCCCCGAGGTCGATGACGATGTGTCGGACGCGAAAACTCATCATAATGCTCCATAATTTCACCTAGGTCTTCCAGAAGCGCTTGCCTTCTGCGTCTATGTTGGGTTGTCCTCGAAACAGGCGTGAACATGTTGAAAAAGAGCTTCAGAGACAAAATGTACACAATTCAGGCCAACAGCAACGTAGACACAGTCTTGCGACCGCTTGCTAGCGTGAAAATGCGCCAAATGATGTGCCCACCGGTGCACCGGCCGCTTATCGCACAACGCTATCGATTTTCCGATACCTGTGCGAGAAGTACTGCAATAACTTAGCAACGCGTGATCGATTCGTCTGTCAAACAATCAAATCCTCAAAAGCAAGACAACGATAGTCAACGAAAAACAACGATAAAATCGAGTTGCGATTGAACGATTTTTACTATTAGGGACGAATTTACCACGATTGCATGAATACTTCGTACAAACTTTCGTACGAATTTGAAACACGAACTCGTACGAAAGTTTGTACGAAAATGCGTATCTCAATTTTTTTGAACAGCGGGACGCCTTCTCGTAAAAACCCCCCATTCGCACGATCTACCGCGTAGCACTTTTTTGAAGTCTGCTTTGTATGTTAGAAAACTTCATTAAACTGAAAATATTATAAAAATAGTTGTACAAAAATATTTCTCTTTCGATTGTCCCGGGGGTATATTAAATCCCAGTCAACGGGCTGGGTTGGGGTTCGGACTCCGGAATTTAAAAATAGAAATAGGTTACAGTGTGCAAAGGATGATATCAAAGAATACGTAAGTGTTTGCGTTGACTTACCGGTCATGGACCTCTCTGCGGCTTCCCTTAATAGCCGCTTCAGATTTCGGTCTCAGCCCTTCCGAATCGCGGCCTTAAATGTCTCCTCGTAACTTTTTCGGTCAACTGCGGGGGACCCGCGAGAAATTGTATAGGCCTCTGAAGGATGGTCTGTTACAGGTAAATTATCAGTAATTACTCAGTATGACTTTATAAGCCTCAGTCTTGAAAAAAACCTTTCCTCTTTGCCTGCCGTACAGCGTCACCTCCTCAGTGATTCTGTCAGCTAAAAGAGTCTGAAAGACCCGTTCGACGAAGGCTGACACGTCAGTTGCGTCGAAAGTGGAGAAGAATGCGATCTAGTAACTTTGTTTTAAAGGACGGGTTCACTTACCACTTGCTTACGGAAATTTTTATTAGATAAGGCTTGGCCGAACTCCATCAGTGCATTCCACGTTTCGGCTTTTAGGATTAGTCGCCTTTGACTTGGGGCTGAAGTCCCAGTCGCAG